ATTCTCTCTTTGATTTTAATTTAAGTATTAAAACTTTTGTTAATGGAGTCTGTTACATCCTGAGGGAAATATTGTCTTCTAAGGGTTTTTTTTTTGGTTGGTTTTTTTTTTTTTTTTTTTTGTAATTTAACAGTATACATTTGGAACTGGGAATGTAGCTCTGAGAGCTTGTGCAAGACCCTGGGTTTCATTCCCAGCGCGCAGACACACACACACACACACACACACACACACACACTCAACACCAAGGAAGAAATATACATTTAATATTCTTTATTCTCCTTGTATAAGATCCTGTGCAGTAGATTTGCTACATCCGGTTACTTTTTGACAAGGATTATTTTGATTCAAAACTAATTTTAATACATTTAAGATTTTTCGTTTTTTAGGCAGCCATTGAAGAATTTGGAAACTTATTTTTTGGGTCTTAGCTACTGTCACTGAATAATAGTTGGGTTATGGGTGGCCACAGCAACAGGACTATGTGTATTATAAACATGTTGAGGGTGGTAGCATTTCACTTCATAGAATCTTCTTTAATAAGCCATTCCAACATGGATACCTCTTTCTTTCTCATTCTTTTCTTCTTCCTTCCTTAATGTTGGGGCTGGAACACAGGGCCTGAAGCATGCTAGGCAGAGGTACCATACCCACTGAGCTACACCTGCAGCTGCCTCTTTTAAATTAGCACAGGGATTGGTCTTTCTTTGAAGTGTTGATAGCATCAGTTGTTTTCAGTGTTTAATCCTTCAAAAATCAGACTCCTACCCTGATGAATGTGGTATGCCAGTTATCCCAGCTCCTGAGGAGGCTGAGGCAGGAGGATCCCAAATTTGAAACCAACCTGGATAACTTAGTGAAATCCTGTCTCAAAAAATAAAAAGGTCTGGGGGTGTAACTCAATAGTAGAGCACTGGTCTGTCATACTCAAGACCCTGGATATAATCACCAGTACCAGAAGGAAAAAAAAATCAGATTCCTTAAATTGGAGCAGGAAAATACAAGATTTTTTTAAATTTTTTAAAAATTTATAATTATACGAAAGTCAGGATTTTTTGGTGGGGGAGGATACCAAGGATTGAACTTTGGGGCACTGGACCACTGAGCCACATCCCCAGCCCTATTTTGTATTTTATTTAGAGATAGGGTCTTGCCAAATTGCTTAGTGCTTCGCTTTTTTCTGAGGCAGGCTTTGAGCTCATTTCTCCTGTCTCAGCCTTCCAAGCTGTGTGCACCACCGCACTGGGAAAGTTGGAAAAAAAAAAAAAAATTTTTTTTTTTTTTTTTTTTTTTTTTGGTACTGGGGAGTGAATCCAGCCTTCTGAGCACATCCCCAGCCCTTTTTCATATTTTATTTAGAGACAGGGTCTCACTGAATTACTTAAGACCTCACTAAATTGCTGAGGCTGGCTTTGAACTCATGATCCTCCTGCCTCAGCCTCCTGAGGTGCTGGGATTACAGGCATGCACTACCATACCCATGTTGAAAAATTGGGATTTTGTGAAAAGGAAAATCAAGTATTTTCTCTCCTCGGCTGTTTGTAACAAGAGAAAAAGGATTTATATTTTTAACTCTTAACCTTTGTAATTTTTAATTATTTTTTTCCTCCTTTAGTTTTCCTTTATGACTGGAAATCATTGAAGTTCATAATTAATACCACACTTTTAAAAACTAAAGTGAAAAGAGTTTTATCTATATCCTCAGGAGTTTGCCAGTTTTTAAGTTGAAAGAATAACCTGATATTAAAATTAAATTAGGGACTTTGAATTGGGGAGCTGGGCACAGTAGCACATGCCTGTAATCTCTGTGACTTGGAAACCTAAGGCAGGAGCATCGCAAGTTCCAGACCAGCTTCAGCAACTAAGGGAGGCCCTAAGCAACTTAGCCAAACTCTGACTCAGAAAAGGGCTGGGGATGTGGCTCAGGGTAGAGCTCCAGGACCAAAAAAAATTCTTTTTAATTAAAAAAAAATTGAATTAGTGGCTGAGGGTGTAGCTCAGGAATAGAATGCTTATTTAATATATGTGAGGCCCTGGGTTTGATTCCCAGCACCACACACACAAAAAGCATTCTTTTAAAAGTATCCATTGCAGTTGTCCATTTTATAAGTCTTTTAGTTTTTCTCAAAAGAAAATTCATTTCCACTTTTCCCATCCAAAACCATGATGCTCTTTTTCTTTTCCTCCTAATATAGCCTTCTAGCCTAGACATCTAATAATGTGCTACAGAGGCATCAGCATTTCCTGTAGCAGGTAGGTTCTATACTAAAGTATCCAATAGCTTGTCACACTTGACTCCATGGATACTGAACCACTAGTAACCAAAGGGAAAGTGGACACAAACCTTCACCACCTTTGGGCACCTATCTTTGGGAACCTTCTCTTTGCTCAGGACAGTAATTGTATGCTCATTGTGAATATTTTAGTGATTGTTTCTGTTTTTCTAGCTGTGTAGCTTAGTTACTATAAGCATGTAGGGCTCAAATGTGATCTACATGATAGGTGTTAAGACTCCATGATTTGGGTTTTAGAATTTTTCCCAAAATAAGTGGAATTATAAGCAGCACTTTTATAGTAAAATAGAACTTCCTGTTCTCTGTCTTCCTTTCTTCTATTATTGTCTCTTTCGTGCATACATTTCTGCGTTTACCCTAAGCATTCTTGACACAAAGGTGATGTCTGGAAATGTGGAAATTGATTTCTTTGTCTAAACTCATATGTACAAGGGAATAGTTTTTACAGGCTTACGCTAACAAATAATTGTTTAATAAAACTGTATAGTAAAAAAAAAAAGTAATTTATCATGAACAAGCATCATGAGAAGAAAATGGCTATTTGGTAAACTCAGAAAAGTGACAAAGAACTTCCCTGTGCCCCACCATACTTGATGAACATGATAACCACTGTTTTAACTCAGGTCAAGACTGGGGAGCTGATTTCTAGAGGGCACAGTTATTTAACATTAAGGAAGCTCTTCATTTGAGGATTATTATCTCTTAGTACCTAAATACAATACTTCTTCACAGTGAACTAGCGATATGAATGTTTTGACCATCTAGAGAAGAGGGTTCCCTAATGAATAGATGAGGATGTTGCTGTGACGAAGGGAAGTTGGACCCAAGGTATCAGCTTCTTGACTGTGGCATCTCCCCTTTCTATTCTTTATTATTTTCCTATCTTTATTTGCAGATGACAGTGTCTCTGTATGACCAGTTTCAAAGTGGTAAACATGAGGATTACTGGAGAACATTTCAAGTGCCTCAGAAAAGTTTTAAAAAACCAAATATTTTTCACTACAGTTTCTTACTCTACCTCTTTTTGGCAGTGGAAGTAGTTGACCCTTAAGGATCTCATCTCCGTGAGCTATATGTTGTTAGAATTAGTCTCCTTAGGCCTAACTCTTGTAACATTTGTTTTGTTAGGTTTGTTTGTTTTAAACATCTTTATTGAGAAGTAGTTTATACCCAAGAATTCACCTACCTCTAGTGTATAGTTCAGTGGTTTTTAGTATATTCACAGAACTGTGCAATTACCACCACAATCTAAGTTTAGAATATGTTTAGCAGCCCCAAAAGAAACCCTCTACTCATTAGCTGTCATTCCTCATTCCTCTCCCTACTCTTCCTCTACCCCCAGCAACTGGTGATCTACTTTCTTTGGCTATAGATTGGCCTGTTCTGGACTTCTGATGTCAATGGAACCATGGACCGTGTCGTCTTTTGTGGCTGACTTGTTTCCTTTGCATAGTAGTGTCTTCAAGGTTCATGCATGTTGTGACAGTAATTCATTTTTTTTTTATGTTTGAATGATATTCCATTACCACATTTTATTTATCTGTTCATCAATTAATGGATGTTTGAGTTGTTTCCACTTTTTAGTTATTATGAATAATTCTGCTCTGAACATTCTGGCAAAAGTTTTTGTATGGACATACATTTTCATTTTTCCTGGGTATGTAGGAGTGGTTTATGTAGTTAACTTGTCTGAAGTGGCCATGAGATTTCCACTAGGAATGTCTGAGGGTTTCAATTTCTCCCTACTTGTTATTGTCCATCTTTTTGATTATAGCCATCTTTGTAGGTATGACGTGGTTTCTTATGTGGTTTGGATTTTCATTTCCCTTATAACTAATAATGTTGAACATATTTTATGTTCTTATTGGCTATTTGCATGTCTTCTTTGGAGAAACATGTTTTTTTATAGTTGTTACTTTTTTGGTTTTGTTTTGTGATACTACGAATTGAACCTTGGGTTGTTGTGTCACTGAGCTATGTTGCTAACCCTTTGCGAAGGCTGATGATGAACTTGGAATCCTCCTGCCCAGCCTTACTAGTTGATGGGATTACAGACATGCAAATCCTTTGCTTCATCATAATTTTGTCCTTTTTAAGTTACTTTAGATACAAGTTGTTTTCGAGATATGATTTGAAAATATTTTCTCCCATTTTCAGAATTGTCTTCTCATCTGATGGTATTGTTTGCAGCACAACATTTAAAAAAAAAATTTATGTAGATGGACAGAAAGCCTTTATTTTATTTGTTTATTTTTAATGTGATGCTGAGGATCAAACCAAGTTCCCCATGCTTGCTAGGCAAGTGCTCTGCCGCTGAGCTACAGCCCCAGCCCCAGTTTTAAATTTTGATGTAGTCCAGTTTACCTATTTTTGTAATATTTTAATGGAATTGATTTAATTTATTTTCAATCCTATTCTGCCCCACTGAGTTCTCATTCCTACAGAAAGGAAGGTTTCTTTATTTTATGTGTGAAAATGTTCAGTTACAGGTTTCTTAGGATGAGTTTATATATGTCTGGCCAGAGTTTTTGCCCTAAAGAATTCTTTCTCATGGACCACATATTTTTAAATTCTATGAGGAAGATGTCTTTGTGAGTGTATTTCCATTTTGCCCTGTTGCCCAAGCCAGCGATTATCAACCAGGATAATTTTGACCTCTCCTAGCAGAATATTGACTGTTTCTAGAGACTTTTTTTTTTTTTTTTTAAATTTTGTTTTAGATGAACACAGTACCTTTATTTTGTTTATTTTTGTATGTGGTGCTGAGAATTGAACCCAGTGCCTCACATGTGCTAGGCAAGAGCTCTACCACTAAGCTTCAACTCCAGCCCTGGAGATACTTTTAATGGTCTCAGTGGGACAGGGGATGCTATTGGCATTTAGTGGATAGAGACAAGAGATGCAGCTAAAATCTAGCACATGAGACAATACCCCCAAACAAAGAATGATCTGGCCCCAAATATCGGTAATGCTAAAATTGAGAAACTGGCCTCGAAACTGGCCTCAAAACAGATATCGGGGGATTTTTTTCTTTCAGTTTGTCTTGTTAATTAAATAAAGGTTGCTAATCAAATAAAAGGATAATCTATGCAGATGGAATCTCTATAGATAGATAGAACTGTAACAGAACTTGTAAATTAGGGAACATTTTATTGAATTCTCAGTGCTGCCAATTATATGTAAATTGCATTTATGATAATGGATACTATTTGGAGGAGAAGTATCAGTTGGAGCAAAAGAATCTAGCTCTTACTTTTCACCTTACTTTCACCTGTACCTCAGCTCCCGGCCTGCTCTGGACATACAACTTAGTAAATAATCAAACTAGATAGAGGTTGAGATAGATGGTGGTCCTCTGAGAGACCATGATAGTGAAACTGTAGGGAAAACTTTTTTTTTTTTTTTTTTATGGTGCTGGGGATTTGATCCCAGGGCCTTGTGCATATGAGGCAAGCACTCTACCAACTGAGCTATATCCCTAGCCCCAAATTCTTAATAACATATACTCTTATGGCTGGCAATCTTCAGTCTGCTCCCAAAATTTACAGAACTAGCTTTATTCTCCTTACAAGTTGCTTCTGAAGCTGTATGGCATACTTTGGACTCTGGATTCAGATCATCTGGGCTTAAATCTCAACTTTGCCATTTGCTTTGTGACCTTGGACAGACTGGACAAGGTATTTAACCCTCTATTGATTCATTTTTCCATGTGTAAAATGAGAGTGCAGCCATATCTATCTAATAGGAATATTGTGGGTATGAAATGAGCTAGTACACTTAGAGCACTTAAAACAGGCCTGACATACATTGTTAATTCTATCACAAATCTGTATTCTTTCAGCCCACTGCTATGGACAGTGCCATCACCCTGTGGCAGTTCCTTCTTCAGCTCCTGCAGGAGCCTCAGAATGAGCACATGATCTGCTGGACCTCTAACAATGGGGAGTTCAAGCTTTTGCAGGCAGAAGAGGTTGCTCGTCTCTGGGGAATTCGCAAGAACAAGCCTAACATGAATTATGACAAACTCAGCCGAGCCCTCAGATACTATTATGTAAAGGTAACACACATCCTGATCTTGATGCTATACAGAGAACCTCAAGCCAAGAATTATTTCTTCTCTTGTTGAGGTTATAGGTACTAATGTCTTGTTTTATTTTAATACAATTTATTTTATAGCCTTAGCATTTAGAATTAGGACACAAGATATAAATGTTCTGGGTGTGTTTCTGTAAACTCTCAGTAACCTACTCTTATTACATGTATTTTGTTCCCAACTACATTTGTCATTAAAAGAAAAAGTCCAGATTGGAATACAAAAAAGGAATTCTGAGATTCTTGAGGATAAATATTCTCATGTGTGTCATAACTTACTTTAAAAATTGTCATGTATACTTTTTTTATAGCTTTACTTTTTTTTTTTTCTTGGTATGAGGGCTCCCAGAGGCTCTTTACCACTGAGCTTCATCCCAGTTCTTTTTATTTTCTAAGTTGCTTTGGTCTTACTAAGTTTTAAGGCTGGCCTGGAACCTGCCATCCTCCTGCCTCAGCTGGGATTATAGGTGTGTATCACCATGCCCACCTGCTTTGCTTAATTTTGTTTTCATTTCACTCAGGGAGTATAAGTTAATACCTTAAAGAATAGCTATTAATATAGTTGATTTCCTAGGTAAAATTGTTTGTTTAATTTCTTACTATTTTGAATACGTTCTTGGGCACTGAGGAAAAATAAATGGTCCAGAGACTTAGAATCTAAAAAACTAACTGTAACCCCAGCCCCTTGGGGGGCTAAGGCAGGAATATGTTCCAGGCCAGCCTGGGCAACTTAGAGATGAGCTCTTACTTTCACCTTTAAGTAATTGATCTTTTCAGCTTTCCTGTACACAGATAAGAGGCAAGGATCAACTGGAATTTCTGAAGGAAGTAGGAACCTGCAATGTTCTGAATTCCTTTTTGCTTACTCAGGATGCCTATGGCTTATTCCTTTGGAATTATTTGAGATTGCAATTCAGTTAAGTTCTGACTTTATACAAATACTTGGTTGATAGAGGTAAACAATTGAAATCATTCGGGTTTTGTGTAACATACTAGTTCAGTTGCTGATAAAACATTTGAGTGTTGTTGCCTTAACTTCTCCATCATAGTAGAGGCTGTGTTTGGTATAGCTAGATGAATGTATATGATTTTGAGGCTTCTGAGTAAACTGCCCACTTCTTATCATTAAGCTACCTTACTCATAAGCTGTGGGACATAAGTTTATAGGAAAGTGTAAGAATGCTTATCTTCTTTTTTGTAGTACTGGGGATGGAACTCAGGGCTTTGCACATGCTAACAATGCTTATTTTCTTTACCTACAGAATATCATCAAAAAAGTGAATGGTCAGAAGTTTGTGTACAAGTTTGTCTCTTACCCAGAGATTTTGAAAATGGATCCAATGACAGTGGGTAGGATTGAGGGAGACTATGAAACTTTAAACTCCAGTGAAGTCAGCAACAATTCCAAAGATGTGGAGAATGGAGGGAAAGAGAAACCACCTCAGCCTGGTGCCAAGACCTCTAGTCGCAATGATTACATACACTCTGGCTTGTATTCTTCATTTACTCTCAACTCTTTGAACACCTCCAATAAGAAGCTTTTCAAGTCAATAAAGATGGAGAATCCTGCTGAGAAACTGGCAGAGAAAAAATCTCCTCAGGAGCCAACACCATCTGTCATCAAATTTGTGACAACACCTTCTAAGAAGCCTCCCATTGAACCTGTTGCTGTCACCATTTCAACTGGCTCAAGTATTTCCCCGTCTTCTGATGAAACTATCCAAGCATTGGAGACATTGGTTTCCCCTAAACTGCCTTCCCTGGAATCCCCAACTTCTGCATCCAGCGTAGCTACCATTTTTACCCCTACACCTCCTGTTCCGTCCATTCCCCCTTCTTTGAAGGAGCTTCCTAGGACACTTTCTCCACCGCTGGGCTCCAACCCAGACATCGACACAGACATTGATTCAGTGGCTTCTCAGCCAATGGAACTTCCAGAGAACTTGTCACTGGATCCTAAAAATGAAGATTCAGCTTTGCCAGAAAAGGACAAAACAAATAATTCATCAAGATCCAAGAAACCCAAAGGGTTAGAACTGGCTCCTACCCTTGTGATTACAGGCAGTGACCCAAGCCCACTGGGGATATTAAGCCCATCTCTCCCTACAGCTTCTCTTACACCAGCACTTTTTTCACAGGTAACTCTCTATATTTTTAATGCCATTGTTTGTATTTACTCACTTCTTAAAACAAATCTAGAATTTCCACCTGAAAGTTTGTTTTCCGTTCTTATTCGTCTTAGAAAGGTTATGTGTAACCCTGTGGATAATTTTTCACTTCAATCAGTTTTGCCAAAATAAAAGGTTTAGAGTATTTTTGGTGAAAATATATTGTTGTTTAAGTAAATAAATATATATATGTATATATATATATTTTTTTACTTTCTCCTAAAGAGAGTAAATGTTCATATTTCTCTCTGGTTGGGTCTCGTGAAACTGTTACAGTAGTAAAAATCCTGAGAACCTTGAGAAAAAGGACTGATGTGATGTTGAATAACAAGTTTGTTTAGTTACAGTAGGTATTTATTAACTTGCTCATCTCATAGAACATTTTAATAGATAACTTCCAGACCATCTCATTATTAGAAGGAAAATGATGATTCATTTACCCACTATTCTTCTGCATCTGGATTCAGGTTTGTTTTTCTATTTGGGAAAGACCCTGTGTAAATTTGTTAAAAATTAGTTACTTTGACCTTATCTTTCTTAGGTTAGAAAAATGATCTCTTGAGATTTTCATCATAATAAAATTTTTAGATTTAGGGATATTTGGAGTAGAGAATAATATCATATTTGGGTTCAGTTAGTATATTAATTTAATTATAGTTTGGCTACTTGTATACTATGGCAAGGATAAAGCATAATCCTGGTACATCCTTTAGTGTATATTTTTGTGTATTGCAGACACCCATCTTGTTGACTCCAAGCCCCTTGCTCTCCAGTATCCACTTTTGGAGTACTCTCAGCCCTGTGGCTCCCCTGAGTCCAGCCAGACTGCAAGGTGCTAACACGCTTTTCCAGGTAAAAGGCTATCTCTTGTGATGTTAAATGAAGAGGTATGCAAAAAGGCACTGACTCACTGTTCAGTTTAGTCATTATATAATTTCTATTTGATAAATATTCTTTGTTTTATTTTTTAATTTCTACATTGATTTTCTAGCTAGCGAGCAGCTTATATTAATATTCATAGCAGTTTCCTTTTCATTATTTACTATTAAAATTCATTTGATTTAGACCAAAAATTATTTGATACTGAGATTTTGGACTCATCCATTTTTTTTTTTTTTTTGTCATTTAAAATACTAGAACTCTTCTATCAAAAATGTATTTACACACACACACACACACACACACACACAGAGAGCTGGGTATAGTAGTACATGCCTATAGTCCCAGCTGCTCAGGAAGCTGAAAGAGGAGGAGGATTGCTAGAACCTAGGAGTTTGAGACTAGCCTGGGCAATATAATGAGACCCTCTTTCATTAAAAACAAATCTATATATCTGTAAATAGATATGTCTATACATAGATGCGGGTCTGAACTTACAGTGGGTTTATACCCTGATGACCCCATTTTTGTAAGTCAAAAATACGATCAGCTGAAAATACTTTTAGTCCAGGCACTGTGGTGCATGCCTGTAATCCTAGCTGCTCAGGAAGCAGAAGGATCCAAGTTTAAGGACAGCCTGAGCAACTTAGTGAGACCCTGTCTCAAAATAAAAAGGAATGGGGATGAAGCTCAGTGGCAGAGTGCTTGCTCTGAGGGTTGGTGCAACGCCCTGGGTTCAGGGGATTTAACAAAAAAGAAAAAGAAAATGCATTTGATACACCTCACCATCTGAACATTATCACCCAGCAGCACAGCAGTGGCACACCGTGGATCATCAGTTGCTTCCCTGTGATCCGGTGGTTGACTGGGAGGTGTGGTCCTCTGTTGCTACTCAGCATGGCAAAGGGGTGTATACTGCATGTTACTGGCCTGGGAGAAGATTAAAATTCAAATTATGGTTTCTACTGGATGCATATGGCTCTTGCACTGTCTTAAACCATAATATGTCAGGGACTGCCTTTGTAGATACGTATACATGTATACAGATATGTACACAGCCTCATATTGGTGTGACAGGAATACATTCTTAGAAAGATGACATTAGGTGATTGTGTACCATACAAACTTCAGTGGTGTAGCCTGCTACACACCTGAGGGGGAGAGAGATACCAAGCCTAGGAGAAAATGATGCAATCCAGAGACAAGGTAAGCAGGAGGTGTGTGAGGCTGCTGCAGGGAGAACATGGCATCTGTTTTACAGTGAATTTTGTAAGTGGAAAGCGCACAGTCTATAATAGTGATGAAACGTCTAGTGTGGTGTAGTAGAGACATAAACCAGCAGTAGTCATTGATTATCAAACATTAGGAACTGTACATAACTGTATGTGCTATACTTTTTTTGAAATTTTTTTTAGTTGTCGATGGACCTTTAAATAATTAATTAATTAATTAATTAATTTGTAGTAATGCTGAGGATCGAACCCAGTGCCTCACACATGCTAGGCAAGCGCTCTATCACTGAGCCCCAGCCCATGTGCTCTACCTTATGTGACTGACAGTGCAGTAGGTTTGTTTACATGTTGCACTGCAGCATTAGGACAGCTCTAGCATCATTAGGGGATAGGAATTTTTTAGCGCCATTTTAATCTTAGGGAACCACTATTGTGTCATATGGTCCCTCGTTGACCAGATAGTCATCATGTGGCACATGATTGTATATAGGAGAGCTCTATGTACAGGTTCTCTCTTTTTAAAATTTGACTTTGTATTGTGTGTGTGTGTTTAGGTTCCCTCTTGTTTTGGGGGGGTATCAGGGACTGAACTCAGGGGCATCCAACCACAGAGCCCTATCCCCAGCCCTATTTTGTATTTTATTTAGAGATAGGGTGTCACTGAGTTGCTTTTTTGCTAAGGCTGGCTTTGAACTCAAGATCCTCCTGTCTCAGCCTCCTGAGCTGCTGGATTACAGGTGTGCACCACTGCACCCAGCTAGGTTCCCTCTTTTAAATAAGAATTTTGTATTTTTAAATAGAGGAAAGCCTTGAGAATAGTCTATCAAATATTCTCATTTCTTCCTCACTCAGAATTGATATATATCAGAAAATGAATATAATCTCTTCACCAATATGTTAGGGAAAAGTCTTGCTATTTTTAATGGTTTTAACCATATTTGGCCCAAACATTTAGACTTTATAAATTGTAAACTTTCTCATGGTCAATTTATTTACTTTTTCAGAGGTGACTATTCCTTGGATATTTCCTTATATTTTATAGTTATAATTTTTCTTTTGTTCTTATGAAAGTGAATGGGTAAGGAAAAGAAGACAAAATTTAGGGATTTGGCATGTAGCATTATGGTAGAACGCATGCTTAGCATGTGCAGGGCCATGGGTTCCATCCTCTGTGCCTAAAAAAAAAAAAAAAAAAAGAAAAGAAAAAAAACCCAACTTCTGCTTCTGTTTGTTTATTTACTTATTTATTTAGATTTTTCAATGCTAGGGATAAACCCCAGGATCTCAGAAATGCTAACTTGTATGCCCTCCTTTTTAAAAACAAACAGGCTGTGGTGCATACCTGTAGTCCCAGCAGCTGGGGGGGCTGAGGCAGGAGGATCACTAGTTCAAAGCCAACCTCAGTAACTTAGCATGACCCTGTGTCAAAAAAATAAAAAGCTTTGGGGATATGGCTTAGTGGTTTAGCCCCGCTGGATTCAATCCCCATACTACCCCCACCTTGTTCCCTACCCACACACACACAAAAAAAATTCCTGAATTATTAAATGGGAAAAGTGTTGAGAATCTTCCATATTTTATTTTTAAATTTTTCTTTGCTTCTCCTGAGCACATAATTTGGGCAAAGTGGTAGTGCTTCTGTAGCTTTAGCCTAGAATCTTCCTAAGTGGGTGATCTCAGAATATGTGATGGGAAAGGAATGCTTTTCTAAATGAGCACCCTATCTTTCTGGACTTCTTTTTGAGGGTTCATGTTTTTTTATAACTGAATAACACTCTAAGGTGCATATTGTCATTTAGTTAACTTTCTAAAACTTTCATTTGAGGTTAAATGTAAACCTACGTTATCTTAACATAATGAAATGTAAAGGTTTGTTCTTTATTTCCATTCCGTTGAGGTTGTATGGAGTTAATACTTAAAATGTTAGGACAAACACTTAAGGTTTTATTATGATATCATATACTTATTGATGAAGTTACTGCTTTTATCCTGTGAGCCACTGCAAAGTCTGTTTTCTGTGTTCTGCCTTAGGGAATATAGTAGAAACAAAGTGAAAGTTGGGACTGAGTAGTAAGATGATAAAGTGTTTTTGTTTTCTTTCTCAGTTTCCTTCTGTACTGAACAGTCATGGGCCGTTCACTCTTTCTGGCCTGGATGGACCTTCTACTCCTGGCCCATTTTCCCCAGACCTGCAGAAGACATAACCTACGCACTTGTGAAGTGAGAGAACCAAGGAACAAAGAAATAGACACTTGGCATGATTGCGTTTGAAGTGAGAGATCCATAGTTCTACAATGCTGATAATATACAATTGTGATTTTTGTCATTTCCCACTGAAATACCTTTTTAGGATTCCCTCCCAATAGGACTCAATTTGGATTATAGGTAAAAATGCCTTAATTGGAGTCAAACCTCCCACTCTCTTCTTTTTTTCTTTTATATTTTGAGCTTTGTGTTAAAGTAATTTTGGTGGGGTTTAGCAGCAATGCTTTGCAAGAGTGGTTAAGAATAGAGTTAACTTCTGGCCATTGGGACCCATTGACCAGGGGGAAAAATTAAAGAAATGTTAGTTAAATGAAATTGGCCATATCTTTAGGACTAAGTGTGCTCTGTTGAATGAGTAAATGTGAGTTTTTTAAAGCAGTGGGAGAAAAAGAACCATTCCTCTTCATACACAGTAAGATTGGTGCAGTACTACTGAGGAGATTTTGTTTTGTGCGAACTGCAACATGTATAAGCAACTCCAAAGAAAGGCATCTTATTTCCATTTATTCTGGGTGGGTCTCTTAGCTACATGCATGGTCTTCTCTGGACCTGTCAACAGGGCTTAGAGCTAGTCTATTTCAACATAAGATATTCAACTTAGGGTATAAGATGGTTTTTAGAACATTCAGTGAGACTGTGGGACACCCCCCCCCCCCCATACACACACACATCTAGCACAGTAACGTCTTCTCTCTAAACAGTGATTCCATACCCATAGAATACAGCATGGCACACGATGACTTCTAGGAGGGTGGACTTGGGTTTTGAAAATTGGACGCATCTCTAAATTAAAGGTTTGATTACCTTGAAGCAACACATGGGGCTCTTCCCAGTTAGAAGAGAGCCAAAGAGAAAGAATCTTGCTCCTTCCTATCTGGTTTACCCCATTTCCTGCTGTATATTTAGCATCTTTCCTTTTAAATCAGAGGTTATTAGGGGTTGTGACAGTGTTCGGATGTAATTAGGAAGGTAGACTGCAAAGAGAAGCCTTCTAATCAGTAGTGAGACAAAGATGTGCTTGTTTCTTTCAGTTTCTCTCTCTCTCTTTAGGGAAGAACAGATTTCATTTGGCAATGCTCAGACATAGTGATTGCATTGTTAGACCTTCATCTCTATATTATAAGATTTATAAAATATTACCTTAGGTAAGTCAATGCCAGGTGTGGACAGCTAGCTTGATTCCCAGACTGAGTTATACCAGTATCACAGTGGAATCTTTTGAGAAGTTTGGCTTTAAAGTCCAGGACTAAATTAACATGCTTCCACAACTACTGTGCCCATTAAACAAACTAGTCTCTTAACCTTGTAGTTGAATCATGGGAACTAAGTGGAATGAAGGAGTAAGACTTGAGGGCTCAACATGATACTGTTACAAGCCAGCATCTTCCAGATGCACATTATTTGCTTTAAGTTTTATTTACATACCGTGTAGAAAAGCTTTTGTGTAACATACTGTGCTGTCTCATTAGCAGTGGAAGGAAAGTCCTCGATGAGCTGCCTCTGAAGGTGTGTGTTGGGGACCTGTTACTACTTTGTTGGTTGTTACCAGCTGAACGTTCTGTTCCTGAGATGTGCAATAGTAGTGTTGAAAGGTAGTGGTCAGTAGTGATGGGAACAGACATTGGACTTTCTTCCCATATTGAATTATTTAGCTTTCATACCTGTTTTAAATTAGATCCCTGAGCAGCTCTTTGGAATAGTTTTATTAGGCTAACATTTTGTATAGTAATTAAATATTGATGGTTGGTTTAAATAGATGTTTTAAATTCTGAAAGCACAAAAGTATTTTTTTTTTTAATCTTTGAGTTAAAGGAGAAAAGCCATTGGTTTATTTTCACAGATGATATATTTGATAATTTTCTGTCTCAGCACAAAGGTACCTTAGCACCATTAAAACTCAAGGCATTTCCCTAGGAAGCTGTTTTAACATCAGGTCTCCTTTGCTTAAGTCTGTCGCCAAAGCCTCTGAGAGGCATGAGGCCTTAGGAGGTAGATGGTGCTCTGCTTTCTCTTTGAGATCAACTAAGTTGGGGAAGCGCTTGCGTGCATGAGTGTGTGTGTGTCTGTGTCCATGTCTGTGTGTCCTTTTTCAAGTCAAGTTTCACAACCTTAGCAAGTGTGTGAGGCTCTGAGACAGCCTCCCTCCTGGAAAAGTCTAAGAACAATTCTTAGCATCAAAAACATACCACGTGGGGCGGGGGTTGTGGCTCAGAGGTAGAATGCTTGCCCAGCATGTGTGAGGCACTAGGTTTAATCCTCAACACCACATAAAAATAAATAAACAAAATAAAAATATTGTGTCCATCTACAACTAAAACAAATATCAAAAAACAAAACAAAACAAACATATGACTTGAGTATTCACTGGGGAGACGTGTTTCGTGGCTGCAGCTGGTATCTCAGTAGTCACTTTGTTAGGATAATTGCTGGTGGGCAACGGTAGCCTAAGTCAAAGGAGAGAAGCAGGCTGCCAGGGCCTTGGGATGTCCTCTGTGATCACTTCTGCTCTAGTCATCTGCTGGAAAATGTTTAGCAGCCAGAATCTCTGAGGTGGCCAGGGGAACCCCTGAATTTATGGAATTTATCAATTTTCTTGATGTATATTACTCCACTGGGGCTGATTTTAAGCCACTGCCATGGAATTGAGAAGGGATATTCATAGTTGATGCAGAGTCAGTGCCAACAAACCACTGCATTTATTCCACCCCTGGGTGGATTTTCACGTTTAAAATAATTTTTAATTATATGCTGATTTGTAAAATTACCAAATTAAAATCTCATGTCTTGACTTCAGTAACTTTTTTCCTCTGACACTACCGATTGAACCCAAGGGCCTTCTACCTCTGAGCTGTATCTCCAGCCCTTTTTATTTTTTACTTTGAGACAAGGTCTTGTTAAGTTGCCCAGGCTGCCCTCAAACTTGACGTCCTCCTGCCTCAGCTTCCCGAGTCACTGGGATAACAAGTATGCACCACTGTTTAAATCTTTTTTTTTCCTCTCACAGTTTATCACAGTGCTTTTGTGATGTTGTCTTTCTCATGGCATACTTTGTATGTTTGAACAAAGGGAAAACTTTCTTTTAAAAAAAAAAAGTTTATACATAATTGAAGAATCTAAGAGATTCTCCAAAGGTCAACCATAAGTTCTTATCTTTGAAATCTAGGATATTTCCCCCCCACATTTTGGCAATTAAAATCTAGGTGTAATTTTTTTTTCAAATTTTGGTGTGGAGCCAGGTGTGATAGCACACACTGTAATCCCAGCAGATGGGGAGGCTGAGACAAGAAGATCAAGAGTTCAGAGCCAGTCTCAGCAATTTAGCAAGGTCCTAAGCAACTTGGCGAGATTCTGTCTCTAAACAAAATATGAGAAAGGGGGATGTGGCTCAGTAGTTAGGTGCCCCTGGGTTCAATCCCCGGTATCAAAAAAAAATTTTTTTTTTTTTTTTTTTTTTTGGTGGGGAAAGTAAGCCATGAGGCTACTGAATTCCTTCCTTCCTTCCTTTTTTTAATAATGGGGGAAATTCCTTGAAGATTTATTTGCATGCTATATTAGAGATCAAAAAAGGCATTGACTGGCTGTTAAATCTGAGACTTGGAATTCTGGAGCTGTAACTCCAGGCTATTTATGGTATCACCGCAGTCCTATTCCCACCAACATTGGGCAATGTCTACTCTGGTAGCATTGTTTCATTCTGATTTTAGAATTTGTATTATAATTCCAAAGTTCTAAAAGGTAACTTTATGTTTCTATCGATTTAAGACACTCAGTGGTATTTCAGAAAAGTGTTCTCTACCACTGAACTACATCCTCAGTCCTTTTTAAATTTTAAAACAGGGTCTCACTAAGTTGCTGAGGCTGGCCTTAAATTTATGATCTTCCTGCCTCAACCTCCCAACTGCACATTGGGATTACAGATATGTGCCACCATGCCCCAGCAGTCTCTAATCATTTTTAACACACCCCTCATCAGTAAATTTTTGAAAACAGAAACTTTCCCTATGAAAAACTCTCATGTGTTTCTGTTGTTATATACCACTACACTAAAGTAACATGTATGCTATAAAATATACGTAAAACTAGAGAATTTTAGACTTGCAAATTTTCAGGAGAACTTGTCATAAGCTTTTGAAATTTCACATTAATTTTTTTCACAGTTGCCAAATAACATCGATTACCAAATGTTTTCCAGAGCGTCATGCATATTATTTCTGACAGCTTGTTATCTCTTTCATCTTTGTATCAAGTGTGCTTAAAAACTTCTTTTGTTCTTGTGTTATATTTTACTAACATTCAGATTTCTTTATGCTAAGATATATAACAATTTCCACTTTCTTTCTGTATTAATAAATGTGTGTGTGTGTGTGTGTGTGTGTGTGTGAGAGAGAGAGAGAGAGAGAGAGAGGAGAGAGAGAGCGCCCATGAGGGAGAAAGAGAGATATAGCATCTGAAGGAATTCTTTTCTTGATGGGTCTGTTCTGCTTATTGCTTTATTTACTATATATGTTTTATTTATCCCCAGAAATCTAGAATTGTGCTGAAGTGCCCTTCTAAGGTGTAGAAACAATTGTGGAGATAATGCAGGTTGCTGGGCAAAAACTTGGGGCTCTGAATGAACCACCAAACCCAATCTGAGGATGTGATAGAATATAGTATTTCTAAACTGGAATCAGGCTGTTAATGTCCAGGCCACAGTAGTTTGAATGAAGTGAAGGTCAACCATGATTGTCTTTCTTCAGCAGGTGCTCTGACCAGAGAAGCATTCTGTGGAAAGTATTTTAATTATTTTTTTGGTCTGGGATCAACAAATAAATGTTTTGTTTTTGTTATCAATGCTGGCATTGCCTGAAACAGGTGCCCTGTTTTAACATGAGAACCATCCTCACTGAAGGAAAAAGTTTTAATCTTGGAGTCTAGAATTCTTCACAGAGTGGTGGTGGTGGTGGTACTGTATTAAGCAAGAACAGGAGGTGCTTGATTTCACTTCTCATTCTTGGTAGAACCTGCCACTATCAAAGTTGTGTTTTGACTATAATAAACACAGCAGATCTGAGAGGTGAATTGGTGGTGGTGGTGGTGGTGTAAGTGGCTTACCAGTGCTCCATCTGAAGCTGCCAGGGTCTTCTAGCTGCTTTTCTGAACAGAGAGATACCTGGATAGCCTGCCAAAGAGCAGCCATTTTGAGAATGCTGCCGTTCATACTTAGCCATTGTGAAAGATGGAAACCTGGAGGTTTGTGCGAGAGGGGAAATGTTGACTTTAAACTTCCTACAGAAGCCAGGAAATTCAAGCTGCTGTTGTCATTATTTTATTTTATATTGCAGTGCTGGGGATCACGTAGGCCTTGTACCACAGAACTAGACTCCCAGCCCCACATAATTTTAAATGAAACCTCTTACTAGGACATTCACGAAGGACACAAACATAGTAAGTCTCTTGAATGCTAAATTTTTGTGTGTAATACACATCAGGGAGTTTTATGAGATTTAAAACTTTACTTTGAAATATTTAATTGGGAGACTAGAATATTCTTTCTAAATCATTCTGATTTATTGGCTAAGTACATGTATGTGTATGTATATACTGATGTATGGACTGAGAGAGTGTGTGTATAAATCTGTTTTTCACAGGGATTATATATTATCCTCTAAACTAGGATGGCTCCTAGTTTATTTTATACTAAAACTCAAAAAAAAAAAAAAACAAAAAACAATTTGCTGCACTTTGCAGTTGCTACTTTTTAAAGATTAATGTCTTGCACATTTCAGTTTTTAAATATACAGAATTGTGGGCCTTAAAGACTAATTGCTTGCTAACATTTTAGAAATACCGCACTGAAATATGTTGTACTCGAAACAAGGTCATCTTAAACTCTTCCCTTATGTTCATATATTATTGAGCTAATAAGGATGTCTTGTCTTAAAATTTCTACATTTCTGTTTGCTTTTGTGAAAATTTTTATTTGACTTGGTTGTTAAGTTTCTCAGAAAGGAGATTTATATTAGAAGTACTGTGTCTACCATACAGAGAATTCAACCATGGATTGATATAAAAAGTGGAGGAATTCTAGCTTTGTGCTTAATTTACCCCATTTAAACTGTACACAAACAGCATTAACAGAACTGCAAAGGAGGGCTTCTGAGTTGAATGGTCTCATTCCCATCTCATAAAGGCCCGCTCTGGTTCTCTCTCTTCCAAGGATTATGAGCCATGCTCAGACAGGCCTGGGATCTCCTGGATGGGGTAGGGATGGAGTGGAATGCCCTGTGGCTGGCCCAGAGTTCTAGCCAATAGAACCATTCAGATCTGCCTGGCATTCATGGTGGGAATATACCATATTAAATCACTTCGCACTTTCTTGGGCACCATTATTAGCACTGTTTTTGTTTTTAATAACTGGAAGCACTTAATGATTATTTTGTTTAATTTCAGCTTAGTATATTAGGGGTCATGGGAGTAAGGTTTATTTCTCATTTACTTTGTGGGGGAAACTTAGGAGTGTTTGGGGAAGGGATAAAAGACTACCTAGTGAGCCATTCTTCTAGGTTGTGTAAGGTAGGCTCTTTGGGTTAGGATGTTTTAAAGTAATTTGCAAGCTTTTAATGTACTCTATGATTTTTAAAAGATGTGCAGTTGCTAGATTATACTTAAATATGAAAAAAATCCAACTATAAGTTTTTTGTTTTGTTTTGTTCATGTTCACTCGTTTTCTTGTCTGTCATGTAGAGGACATAGTCCCTTCTAAGACATTTCTTTTTTTGTTTGTATTTTGTGGCAGTATTACCAGTGGCCTTTGTGTGTACATTCATTGCTTGCATTCATTGTTTATATGATAGAGAAACATATTTTATAAACTTCCCTGTTCAGTATTAGTGAAATTAACTAAGATGCATCTATGTAAAGATAAAAAAGAAATTAATACAATTAACTTCTGATCATTGGGGGCCTATTTATTCTGTTTGGCTCCTACTCTTTTCTAGTCATAGTCATGTATTTCTTCACTTTGCCTTCTAACAGTTTCATTTATCTTTGTGGAGTAGGGAAGATTTAAATACGAATTTCAGTTCATTTTGCTACTGGATAGCTTTGTTTAGAGGCAAATAAAATTTTGTTCAAAATTAATTTCTTAGAATTATGCCCTTTATTCACCAGATAATCAGATTGGCTTAAGAAAAGAAGAAGTATGTATAACTTTGCTTTTCTTTTGTGCCTGGGTCTGGTATGTTGCCCAGGCCGGCTTTGAACTCCTAGACTCAAGCAGTCCTGCCTCAGCCCTGTTGAGTAGCTGGAACTACAGGTATTACACCTGACTTAACTTTGCATTTTGAAGAACAAACTAATAATTTTCCATGGGCCCTACTGGATCTTAAAAAGAAAAAGATATCTGAGAGACAACTAAGGATCAATGGGAGTTAACCGTAGGTTAGATTCTTTAAATTTCATACTCTGGGTGGTTTAGAGTTGAAACTGGTTTGTGGACTATAAAATATGGCCAGCATTTAAAAATTAAATGATATTAAATAACAAACTCTATTAGATATAGTACAAGTGCACAACTACCCAGAATGAGTAATTTAAGGTATTACTAATAACTTATGTTAATTAATTTCAGTTTAACTTACATTAGGGAGACGTTCAGAGTATTAAAATCACCTTTTTTTCCTTCTTCCTTAAAAGGCAGTTAAAGTGGTAACTGCTAGTGGTTATGAAAATTCACATTAATTGTTGGTGAAGCCGATAGAAACTGCCTTGTCATCTAGCCAGCAGCAGGGTTTACCTGGTGAACAAAGGCATGTTGTTCAGGGTTGATTAGGGTGATTGTATCTCGAGTCTGGAATTCTGTCTCTGTGCACAAAGAAACTTTATGCAGAGTTTAGGTGGGTAAAGAAAGGGATATGCAAGCACTTTGAGGGCTTTATAATATGCTGCTTTTAAGATTAAAAAAAAAAAAAAACAATTAATACTCGGTGCATTTCCACACATTGTAAGGGGTTGCTCTGAGTAACCAACCAGGTGGTCATTTTTTCTATCACCTCCCATGTTTTATGCAAAAATTTTGTTAAATTGTATAATGGTGGTATGTATCTTTTAAGAAAGATGATACATTTTTAAACTATTTTGTGTAAGAACTGACAGAGGAATTTGCTTTGTATAATGCAAGCTGGCTTTAAGAAAGCACTGTAGCAAATTTACTACAAGTCCAAAATTATACAGATATATTAGTAGATATGTGTGCAACTAGATATGGACAACAGTTGTATTTTTTTAAATAAATATTTTTAACAAAATAATTTTCTGGATTGATTATTCATTTCCCTTCTTTCACATTTGTTGAGATAGTCTCTGTGCATTGTATTGTATTTCCATCCATGCTAACAAGGGGTAAGGAAGGAATTTAATTTTCCCAGTGCTTTTTGGTTAAACCTGATCTTCAACTACTTGGTATGTATCTACATTAAAATATTTAAAGCCTAGGTTGGGACAGGCAGTGAAAGGGGGAGACTGCAAATGATTGGCATAAAGTGAATTAAAAGAGAACTGACCAGCAAGAAAAAATTACTAACTATGTGAAATCTCTATTTTACTTTATTGACATTTTAAAGGTTTTTTAAAAACATTTTTTAATAAGATGCCTTTATTGTAGCTTTTGAAAAGAGCAACTTTTGCTTATTTCTGTTTTAGCACGTTTCTTTGTATGGTTTTTGAGCTACAAAAGCAGAGATTTAAGTTCATTTAACAAATGAAATGAGGCCTTTCAGAACTGGTTTGAAATAACACATATAGGGGAAAGTGGGATTAATAGATGGAAAAATCATATCAGAAAGCTATTTCATATCTCTAGTTGAAAATTGCTGGTGAGGCAATTCACCTACCCTTGTGAGATGTCACTTCAGATGACAATGCTCATTGGCTGATATTCTCTTGTGGGAACTGATAAACTCTCCTAAAGTACCATTCTTAAAACACATTACCTAGAACAGTAATGCCATGAGCTCATAAAAGAGTCTTCAGTACTTGGAGATTCAGTTGCATTTTAGAATATCAGATGCTTCAAGTCCTTCATTTATTTTCTAACCTCTATTGAGCGGCATGCTTAATTGGCAAGCACTTAGTGTTTTACAGATGGATTGGATGACACACCAATACACTAACACTTTGTTTCAGAGCTGGCATTGTCAGTTGGGAGATAATCATTAACAGTTGTAAGATTTCATATTGATGTGGCTATAAAACCCAGCACTGATGGCAGTACACCCTGTGCCTGAAGGAGTTGATAAAAGTGACTTCAGAGGGAGTAACTCTTAAAGTAGTAACCCAGCAGTGGATAATATTGAAGGTGAAATGGAGGCAAAGATCTCTAACAGCTGTGCGGGTCAAGTGATGAGCTCTGGTGTTCAGGAAGTTGCTGGAGTGCCAGAGTCCACTCCGTGATTTGTATTTGTTTTGAATTCGTAGCCTCTCTGTAATCAATGTCACCATCTGTGTTGCCAGGTTCAGCAGTTGATATTCATTCCTTGGTTTGCCTCTTGACAGCACTGATTCCTTCATGAGATACTCTTCACGTAACTTCTAAGAAACCACATTTTCTCTTGAACTTCCTCTTACCTCTGGCTTCTCTCATTTGCTGTGCTGGATCGAATCTTGTTAAACCTCGAGGTGTTGAAGAACCCTGATCTTTAGATCTTTGAATCTCTACATTCACTCCCTAGCTGGTCTCATTCAGTCCCATGGATTTGAACCCTCTATATGTATGTGATCACAAAATTTACATCTTCAGCCTTGACTTGTAGGCTCTAGACATATTTATCTAGCTATCTTCTTGACACCCAAGTTAGTATTGTGAGGCGAGCATGTGTAAAACAAGACTCCTAAGTGGTCCCAATGCTTTCTAGTATTAAATGGCCTTTTTTTTTTTTAACCTTTATTTATTTGTTGTTGTTTATTTGTTTTTATGTGGTGCTAAGAACACAGGGCCTCATGTGTCCTAGGCAAGCGCTCTGCCACTGAGCCACAACTCTAGCCCTTAAGTGACCTTCTCATATACTCAGTTCCTCAAGTCAAATGCCCAGGCATCATCTTCAATTCCCATCTTTGCCTCACACCCTGTACTCAATCCATCAGCAAATTCTGTCAGTTTGGCCTTCCAAATACAGCTTTGATCCAATCACTTCCACCAATTCCACTGCTACTGACATGTTCCAGTATTACATCAAGCTGGTCTTTAACATTCCGTGCTTGCCCCATAGTCTCATCTCCGCATAACATCCAGAATGGTACTTTAAAACCTCTAAGTCAAATCGTGTCATTACACTGCTTGCAACTCTCCTAACAGTCTCACATCACATACAAAAATTTCCACATTCTTTGCCTGGCTTGTTGGTCTGGCCCCCAGCCAGCACTCGGCCTACTTCCTGCCACTGTCTTCCTTCCTCACTTAAGCCATACTAGTCCATTTGCTGTTCCTCAGATTTTATAAAGCACATTCCAGTCTAAGACCATTGGACTCTCCATGTCCCCTGTCTAAAAAGATCTTTGCCAGGTACTTGGATGGCTTTTCTTCTTAGGTCCTGCACAAATGGTACCTCCTTAGTAAAGTCTTCGGAGCATCTGTGTGCATTACCTCTCACCTTTCTGTGTGTTATCTGAAACAGTGATGTCTGTGCCTGTTTCTTCAATTGCAGTGTAGTCCCTGTGAAGCAGAGACTTCTCACTGCTGAAACTGCACCTGGATCAGACTCTTTCGAATGAATAAATGCATTCTCTATATCAGGCCTCTGTGTCTACATCACCGTATCTTCCTTTGGTGACTCAAGTGTGCTGATGAGTTAGATTCCCATATCCATGTAATAAGGAATCTGGGAACAGGGTGACTTCATGGTACTCTGAAATGTCAAAACTTGAAGATCAGGAAGGAAGCCCTGCTTACTTTGTAACTCACTTTGTGGTGTGAAAGCCTATTGCCTTCTCCTTCTTCAATGACATGTCAGAGGGAATAGGGGCCCTCAGCCCTTAGTTTCCTTCTGAAATATCAGCCATGAGAGCGGGGGGTGTAGTCAGTGACAGAGCTCTTGCCTAGGATGTCTGACATCCTGGGTTCCACCTCCAGAATGTTTACTCCCCCCAAATATATAAATAATATCAGCTGTAGGAACCTATAGATGAGCAAGACCTCTCTCCAGATCATTTGTTTCTGAGCTTATGTAAAAGGGTCAGTTGTCCAAAATGGATAACACACTTATTAAGTTTAAAATATTTTATTTTAGGAAAGTTACTTATATTTGTTTTAATCTTATTTTCTTTATTAACAAATTAATCATGATCAACTTAGATATAGTTAATGATTCTGCCTTCTAAATCTCTATAAAAAGGATTTTTTTTTCCCCAAAAAACCACAAGAAAATACAATTGCTTTCTCTTTGCCAGGTCAGTCACTACAGTCAGAGTGCACATTTGAATTTGGCTAATCTTAAAAGTATTTACAAACATAGTTAAAACTATACCGCGAGACTGCTAGCTTTCCAAAGAAGTTGGGTCTTTCTGACTTAACAATAAATATGTACCAAACATGAACAATTTCTAAATTGCTTAGGAGGAGGCTTTGAAAATAAAAATTTCTAACGTATATCAAGCAAGTTATGCCAGGCATAGCAGGTGCTTTATACAAATTCCCTTAATTTTTTCAGAATTCCTGTGAGGTAGGGTACTTTTAGAAATTCCACTTTACTGGTTAAAAAAAAAGTGAGGTTGGAACAGCCTCTGTGATCCACCCAGGGCCACACAGCTGGAAGGGAGGCCAGCGCTCGGCCCAGATCTCTCTCTAGCCACAATCTCATGGCTGTGCTGTTGGTAGTAGTCAGAGCTGGCTAACTTGTCAACACCTGCAGATCCAGGAAAAACCTTTCAGTGTCAGGCATGTGAACTACAGCCCTTGGGATTTTTATATTTATACATGTACATTTGTATATACATCAAGAAAATACAGGCAAACCAGTTCTTGTAACAGCTATTTTATACTTCTAGAAGCCACAGTACTGTTAGCCCCTGTCTGAGTTGAAGAGTTCATATTCTCACTTTATGTTACTGCCTCTCCCCTTCCTAGGACCCCTAATTCCTTGATGAGACTCTGCTTTCTGCATACTGTGAGGCTAGAATTTTTCGGTAGTCCCAGCTTATTGTTAGAGAAAAGACCTTGACATAGTATAAAAGGTTTTTTCCTCTACAAAAAAAAAAAAAAAATGTAAAATATTTTTGGAAATTCTTAGTGCTGTTTTTACACCTTTTTACATGCTTGTCATCCCAGTAAAGAAAAACAGAAAAGAAAAACAGGCCATCTCTTTCTCCCAGGGGATTTCTGGACCAATTAGCATTGCTTACTTGCAGTGGTATACTGGTAAATATTTAACTACTGGCTCCCCAGGGTCGGGGGAAAGCTCTAATTTGTAACTTTTGCCAGATGCTAGTGGTATACATACTCCCACCATAATTGATCACAAGCTGCCAACATGGTGGAGTTGGGAAGAGATGCCCAGCAGCACTTTATCACCTGGTAACCTCTCCACCCCTATAATACAGACCAGAATGATCTCAAGAGCCTCCATAGAACAAAATTAGGAAGTGGTAAGTTTTGATTATTTATTACCTGATCAGCTTTTCTAAGCTGGTGTGAGCAAGCCCAGCATACCACTGGATTAGTGTCCCAAAGAGAACACAATTCAACTTCTCCTTCTGATGTCTTAGAATACACATGAACCATTGATCTCTGCGGCAGGAATGGGAGGAACTTGGGACCATGAGTAAGTAAAAAGCACATCAGTCCTTTTTGAACATGCCAGGGAATAACAGGGTTGGTTTTGATCCATTGAAAACATCTACAAAGAGCAATGATCAACACGCTTTACAATGTCAACCTAGTTTTTCAAACTTCATCTAAGAGTGACCTCAGACCCAGGGTATGGTCTATGCACGAAGTGACAAAGTGACGTGCACAGCTGTCTTCTGCCTTCCTGTCTCAGTATCCTGAACAGCCCTACCTGAGTCTGAACTGGGGAAGAGAAGGTAACCGGAATCACCAGGAAAATCCAATGATTTGCCAGAGGAGGACCCCAGGCAAATTTAATGGGGACTCAATTTAATTTCTTCTGCCCAACCGAGTCCAAGTGGAAAACATTAGAGCAAAGGCTTTGAGAAGAGGCCACTCCACTGCGACCCTCGGCTGCCTTCCACAGTCCAGGTGCGTTGGTGCTTAGGAGGCTGGAGCCTCGCCTGCCTCCGGCCCTCGGTTTCACCTCTG